AAATGGGTGGGGGAGGCGCCCAAAGTGTGCGGCAGGAGGCAGCTGTGCCGAGCCCTCCTATGGGTGGAATGACCTGGCCCTCGGACATGCCGGCAGTCGTGCAGAGCGGGACGCTGCCCTAGCCCCACTGTGCTACTGGGGTGGTGCCGGGGGTCGCTGGGGAGGTTAAATGGTCTGGGGGCAGCAGGCAGGGCTGGAGGACGTGGGGCAGTGTGCGGAACCCCCACCCCAAACCTTGCCCAAGAAGGGGGCCCACTGGCCCTACGGTACGTTGGGTTTGAGAGCCCTGCTGTAGCCCGGGAGGGTCACGTCTGAAGAGGCTGAGAGCCATGTTACAAGGCTCTTGACTTGCCCAAGAGCCATAAGCCAGGGGTCATGTCTGTCTGCTCTGGGCCTTGATGATCCCTAGACTGAGCCCAGGTTGTGGCCTAACACGCAGGCCAGGGAGGCTGGCGAGCAGTCGACTACCTGACAAGCTTATTGGGTAGTCGAGTGGAGTCCTTGACTGCTTGCTCCCTGCCCCCTAGCACTGTCTCCGCAGTGCTGCCTGCCATCCCCCCTGTCCCCCCACTTCCTCTGCCATGAGCAGCAGCTGGGGACAACCCTGGCCACCACAAATGGGCAGGGGGACTCAGTGTGAGCCAGGACAGAGCAGTCCCGGCTAGGGATGTAATAGTGGAATCGATTTAACCAATAAGCAAAAGCATTATAGGTTAGTGCTATAGACTCCACGCATTTTCCCCCTCCGCCAGTAAACTTTTCAGCAGGCTGACTTGTGAGGGGTCCGGGACCTACCCCTGCTGCGGCTCTGCATTTAAAGTGTATTAGGAGCTAGGTGGGCAGGCAACCCAGCTCTGTTCCCACTCGCACTGGGTCTGGGAGCTCAGACCTCAACAGGCAGGCACTGCTCCCACCTCTCTGCACTGCTGCCTCTTTATCAGAGGCAGCAGCACAGGGCAACAGGCAGTTTGTGAGGGGAGCTGTCTTTTTAAACTGGCTTCCCTCGCGGACCAGCTCCCGCCTTCCATCCGGCACTGCTGCCTCTGCTACAGAAGCAGCAGCACGGTGTGGTGGGGGGGGCTCCTCAGGAGTAGGGCTGGAGCATGCTAGCTGCCAGCCCCGCCCCTAGGACTATAAAATAGTTGAGTAACCAATTAAAAATTCATGAGGTTACTCGACTAGTCAATGAACTGCTATTTAACATCCTAGTCCCGGCTCACGCTGGTCCAGGGCTCTGCGTCTCTGTTTTAAATGAGTAAGAACCCGACGGAGCTGCCACGAGCTCAGTCCCGGCTCCAGAAACTACCCCTGCTGCGGCTCTGCAGAGCGGCTCCTTATTGACTCATCGCACAGTCGCTACCATTCGCATCAACTACACAATGAGCCAGATAAGGGTGTTAAACTGCAGTTAACACAGGCTTGAGCAAGAGGAGTGGCTGGCATGCTTGTCAGCTCCTTCCACTAGTGCCCTCTTCTGTATGGAAGGAGGGCATTACGCCAGAGTCGCTTAGTTTCTCACCTGTGTGGGGAGATACTTTCCCAATGGAAAGTGTAGACCCTGTTGTATTTGCAGTAACTTTTCACCCAGGCTGGTGGCCATGGGGCTGACTTTTTCTCGAGCATCTGTTCAGGTTAACCGTTGCTGACTTTTTTTTTTTTTTTTTTTGTGCCACTTAAGATTTACAAAGGCAAATGGGAATCTTGTAACTCAGGATTCCTCGCAAGCCTCTACTGACCTAGAAATGGAAATAGCTGCATCGCACGCCACGTGTTGGCAAACAACTTAGGGAAGCCATTTAGAAGTCAGTTTAAGTCCTAGTCTACCAAACTAACCTCTCACAGTTGGTAGCCTGATGAGTTGTAGCAAATGAAGAGTAATGTGACATGAATATGGCTAACGGCATATTGAGGAATATTACCAGCAGAGCTGGGGAAGTGATCATTATAAGAATGGACGTACTGGGTCAGACCAAAGGTCCATCTAGCCCAGTATCCTGTCTGCCAACAGTGGCCAGCACCGGTGCCCCAGAGAGGGTGGACTGAAGACAATGATCAAGCACTTTGTCTCCTGCCATCTCTCTCCAGCCTCTGACAAACAGAGGCCAAGGACACCATATTATCCCCTGGCTAATAGCCTTTTATGGGCCTAATCTCCAATCATCTAGCTTCTCTTTAAACTCTGTTATAGTCCTAGCCTTCACAGCCTCCTCTGGCAAGGAGTTCCACAGGTTGACTACATGCTGTAGTCTTTATTCAGATGTGGCCTCACCAAGGCTGGAGTATTGCATCCAATTCTGGGGCCCCCATTACAGAAAGGATGTGAACACATTGGAGACTGTCTAGCTGAGGGTAACCAACGATTAAGGGGCTGAGCACATGACTTATGAGAAGAGACTGAGGGATTTGGGTTCGTTTAGTCTGCAGAAGAGAAGAGTGAGGGGGGATTTGATAGCAGCCTTCAACTTCCTGAAGGGGGTTCCAAAGAGGATGGAGAGAGGCTGTTCTCAGTGGTGGCAGATGGCAGAACGAGGAGCAATGGTCTCAAGTTACAGTGGGGGGGGGTCTAGGTTGGATATTGGG